GAAGGGGAAGATCGCCCAACATTTGTCAGCTAGATGCTTAGTCAAGAGGTTAGTAATAAATTAATCGTTTTACTAAAAGAATATAAAGATTGTTTTGTTTGGAAATATGAACATATGTCTGGTTTAGATAAGAATTTGGTAGAATATAGATTATCACACTCTACGATCCAAGAATTTCGGTTGCAAGCAGTTGAAAGAAGAGAGTAGTGACAGTAGTTTAAAAACGGTAGTTCCTTGACATGTCGGCCATTATGAAGCAAGTTGGTAGTTATAGAGCGACAAGCAGTTTCCAAACGATTTTGCAAGGAGAACTGGCGAAACAGTATAAAAGAAAAGGAAAACATAAAAGGAAGGATCCCAGATCAATCACTCTCAAATAGAGAATATGTAATTTCATTTCTTTTAATTCTTATAGTTAAACTTTCAAATTACTTTGTGTGCTTGTGCCCCTTGAAAGAGTTATGCTTCTTTTTCATTGTAATCTTCATAAATAAAGCACTCCTAATTGGGACTTTGTCTCAAGATGTTTGTTCCTTACACAATCGTTTGAACCATCTTTTAATTGTTAGCGAGGCTCGATAAATCCGCACTAAACAATATGGTTAACAAATATATTACACAATGTATATTACAATTACACATACGATTTTTTTACATGTATCAACTATTAAATCAAGGTATTAAATGTATGCATTAATAAACATTAAAGCACCCCAAGAGAGAATAATAATAAGGGTATTGTGGACATTTTGCACCCAAAATATGACATTTTAAGCGCTTTTTCAAAAAGTGGCAAATTATTTGACAATTAATAATGTAGGGACGTCTATGCAAATTCCCCATTTTCCATTTAAGTGTGAACCTCTACAATATTTCCTAAAACTCTTGGGCCATTTCAAATCTAAAGCAAAGAAGTGTTGAAAGAGTAGGGCCTACCACTTCAAAGAACCCTCAAATCCACAGCGAATTTCTGCCCTTTATCCTCTCCCTCCAATGGCCACCACTGTGCTAAAAGCGCCACCTGCTTTCTGCACAACCGCCGACCGCAATTCACCCCTCACGTCTCGTAATTTCACTCGCGTTTCGTTCACTTCTATTGCACAGAAATGGTCTGTTAAACGATGTCGTATTTATCACTCTAGCATTACTATTATTAAATTACCTCACCTCTCGCTTAAGAAGAAATTCTTAAACTTCGCTTCCGACGGAGAAACTGCTGAAACGCAAACCGAAATCCTAGAGAAAGACCCTTCTCAGGAAGTTGAACCCGATATTGAGGTTCTATTTTATTTAACTGCAATTGGATTTTTTTATACTACTGAATTGTTCTATTTTCTGGACATTTTTCCAGTAAAAACTTGTTCCATTTCACTCTTGTTACTGGACATGTTAATTAACTGGAGTTGGATGGGGCTTTTGTTGTAGTTTTGAGAACTTGTTTTATTGTTCTTTGAATTGATTTTAAAAGACGCATTCTTGAAAGAAAAATTGTTTAGATTATAAATATATTATTTGAATGGAATTGATGAAAGTTATTATAGTTGATTGGTTACAAGATAGTTCAAAAAATGGATATTCATAACGCACAAGTATATTCGCTGCCTTTGTTAGGATAAATAGGCTTTCTCTGTTGGTTTACTTGATTTGAAATGGTGGAAGTGTCGTATTTATGAAATGAATTGAGTTGTTGTTTATTACCCGTTTAGTAATTTCCTAGATTAGTGCTGGATAAAAAGATAATGCAATTGATTCACAACTAAAAGGACATCATGTGTATTTTGGTATTGTTCGGTTCAACTTAAATTTGAAGTTCATGAGCTCCTCCCAAGATCTATTGTATGTCTTGTCGCTTTCACTAAAACTGTGTCATTTGCAAATATAACGCACTGAGGAACCTTATCTCTATAAGCTTGTAAGCTTAGTCATAACTAAAACAAAAAGATTAGTTCTTGAAGCACTATGTGAGCTGATCGCTAACCATGCTAGAATTCACACTTGTGCAGGATTGTTTGTTGCATATCCATATTGATATATCTAGTAAATTCTTTTCTATCACCCATCACAGAACTTCCTTAAGGACCCTATTGTAAAATCTTTTACAATAAGGTTTTATTTGATTGCAAACTTTTCCATGGAAAATGTCACATTCGAGGAAAACGAATTCCACGTTGACTGTTTGATTGCAACGTGGAAATGGAAATCGAATTCTAAGGTATAACCCCTTTAAGCTGCATTTTCTTTGTTTTTATGGAAAACGAATTCTTATGGGTTTGGGGAGTTTTTATTTTCCAATTAAACATGGAATTTGATTTTCTTTCCACTTTTGCCTATCAAACGGACCCTAAGTAAAACTGTATGCACTTTTGTTTCTTTTCTCTATATTTTTAAGATTCCATGAATTTTTCGAGTATTAAACAGTTCTGGTTCTTCAAGACCATCGATACTACCAACATTAATAGACTTTCTTCTTAATATCAGTCTAATCCTTTTAAGACATACCTTATTTTCAAACTTGGATCAATTAATATTGCTAACATGTTTATGCTCTTCTTTTTCACATGTATACCAAAATTTATAGCATGGGCTACCTAATTTTTCGTCTACTCGTTCATGCTTTTATTTTATTTTTGAAGTCTTATGGATGATGAATGATATTTAAGAACTCAGAGTTGAGTTTGAATACAATTAGTGATGTGTGAATTGTGTGTTTTTGTTTTTGAAGTGCTTTTCTTTTCACTTTTGGAGGAGGATTGTATTATTCAGATCACTCTCAGCTTATGCAGATTATACGTATTATACTGAGCAGAGTTAAACAATTAACTGTTAGATTTACACATGTTGTAATATACAAATGTAAAATAATTGAAGTAACCAGGGTCCAGAGATATCTAGCATACATTCTTGGTGAAGAAAGCTCAATTTGTCATTTACTGTGTACAATATCACACGTCAGCTTGAAAAGCTTTCTAAATGAACTCAGTTCATTCATCATGTGATTATTACTAACTTTATATTGGATGTGTTTTCTGACCTTTTGAATCTCAATACACTTCTAATTCATAAGAACTTATATTTTACTGAAAGATAATAATGCATGCTTTGGTAAAAAGGAGATATGTACTGAACAAACTGGATGTCACGTTATTTTTTAACTCCTGTTAATCTTCAGGCATCTAGTTAATTATTGCGGGGCTTGTACTGTGATTGTTATTTTCTTAAATGATTTGCCACTTCTATATGATGTACAGAGCAGTTCAGATGGTGGTAGTGGTGTCGATGCTGCCAGCGAGGGTGACTATGCAGTTGCAGAAGAATCTGCTTCGGCTGTTATAGCGTCACTAAATTTGTACAAAGAGGCTTTGGCAAATAATGATGAGGCAAAAGTCGCCGAGATAGAGCTATTCCTTAAATCAATTGAAGATGAGAAAATTGATCTTGGGAGAAAAGTGGCTACTTTATCTGAAGAATTGTCATATGAAAAGGCTCGGATTCTTAGAATCAGTGCTGATTTTGACAATTTTCGAAAGAGAACAGAGACAGAACGACTTAACTTGGTAACAAATGCACAAGGTGAAGTGGTGGAAACTCTGTTGTCTGTTTTGGATAATTTTGAGAGAGCCAAATCCCAGATCAAAGTGGAAACAGAGGGAGAGGAGAAGATCCATAATAGTTACCAAAGCATATACAAACAGTTTGTGGAGATTCTTGGATCTCTTGGCGTTGTCCCCTTAGAGACTGTGGGGAAACCATTTGATCCCATGGTAAGTTTGTTTACATGTGCAAAATTGTCAAATAGCATGAATATGTGGAATATACTGCCTTCCTCTGATGTCCATAAATTCCAACATTCTAATAATCTATTTTCTTTTGACCACGGGCATAAATATTACCTCATAAATTTCTTCCTTCGTACAAGAATCTAGTTTCTCTAATTGCCATATTTTCTTAGCTGCATTGGTTACTATCACTCTCATATTTTGTCATTGGCTCGTTGCAGGTAAGCTTCCGAGTTGGCTCAAAATTCAGTCGAGTAATATATGGAAAATTCAGTCGAGTAATATATGGACCCTTTGAAAAGCTGTATAAAGTTTGTTCTGGTATTATGAAGACCTGGATAAGATTTTAACTCAAATTAATTTATCGATTGATTGGAGCCAACTCGGTGAGTTTACTAGGCAGACATCGCACGGCATCTTAAACCTTACACGAGATTTTTATTTCTATTTTTATATAAAAAAAAAAAGTTTTGCCTTCGATTTTTGTTTGTTCGGATTGGTGGTGGGGGACTATTTGTTTGATTTGTCCTTTAAGAGTTTTTAATTTCTCACGTCATTTCTGGACTGTTCATATACATCTTTATCTTTAGTTACTAAGTGCATGTTTGGTATAGAGGTGTTATACTCACCACGATTTTAATTTATTTTTCTTCTTTAGTACTTTATACAGTTCTATCTAATCCTCCGAATGCAGCATTCCATAAGGCATAAATATCCTTCTTAGTTATCAATGTTTCTGACATTAACTTTATTATGCTCTTGACAAAGCTGCATGAAGCTATAATGCGCGAAGATTCAGCAGAATTTGAAGATGGTATTATCCTTGAAGAGTACCGGAAGGGTTTCAAACTTGGTGAGAGACTCTTGAGGCCATCAATGGTGAAGGTTTCAGCCGGTCCAGGACCTTCAAAATCCAAGACTGCCGAGCCATTTGAAGAAGTGGAAGTCAAAGAAACTAGTGAGGAGGGCAGCCCTGAAGCCACATCTGCTGAGGAATAGCGGCACTTTACAAAATCAATTTTGTACTAGCAAATACTCTGTTAAAAGTTGTTATTCCTTTAGTACCATATGCTTGTGAGATTCGTTTTATTTTGTATTGGGATATTGGTTTGAAGAGGGGAGCACTTCCATCTGTATCTTCGTTGTTCAACTAATTCAAGAGGCCATGTAGCAGAAAGTGGTGTTAAGAGGTTTTGGCTGTATGTTCCCTCAAGCACATGCTTGATACTACAGAAATCCAAGAAGAAATAATGTCAAATATATTGAATAAAGCTAACTAATTGTATTAGAATATCCATAGAAGTACATATAAATAAAATGATCAAATTACATTTAATAGCTTTAATTTATGCAGGATGCATATTTAACATAATCAGAAAAGATTTGCTGTAGACATAAACTAGAATGAGAAATACGGGGAAGTCAAATGGATGGTATTAAACTGGAATTCGAAGAAAGACTTTCTGATGATTGTAAGATTTAATTTTTTTATTAAAAAAAAAAAGAAAAAAATGGAATTAAATTTCATCAAAAAGTCTTCGAATTCTTTTTTACTACCATTCATTTGACTTCCTCGTACTTTATATTGTAGCTTCTGTCTACAATCTTCTAGAACTAAATCTTTTTTATATTTGTTAAATGTACATCCTGCTACTATTAAAGCTATTAAATTTAATTTGATCATTTTATTTATTTGTATTTCAATAAGTATTCTAATACTTTTAGTTGGCTTTATTTTAGATATTTGACATATTATTCTTTTTAGTTTTCTGTTTCTAAATAATTATTTTCTGTGTAATTATCTATAGATTGTTTTCACTTTGTTTCTAAATTTTCAATTCTATATTGTATTTGACATAATGTTTTATCTATTCTATTATTTATATTAATTATTCAATCTTCTAATCTTTCTATAATTTTGCTATAGTCTTTAGGTAGCGGTGGCAAAAAAGCTCAGCGGCTTGGGAAAAGTCGGAGCCGGGCCCGACTCGGGCTCGATCGCACCGAGCCAAGGCTCGGGCCGAGCCCCATTTGGGGGCACCTAGCTGAGCCCGGGCCGACCCGTGTCCACCAAGAAGAATTTTTTTTTTTAAAAACTTAACTGCCTGCACAGCAGGCTACCTACGTGTGAGGCAGCTACAAAAAATTGTAGCTGCCTCACAAGCAGCTACAAAAATGGAGCTGCATGCCGGCAGCTTTAGCTGCCTGCACGCAAATGGCGTGCACGGTACAACAAAATTTAAATTGAATTGTCTTATCAAAAATTTGAATTTATAAATTAAATATAGTTAAAACGGATATATTTTTTTGTCTATAAATAAGAGAAATTTTACAAATTCATATCAATCTATCTCAAATTTCTTTACGCAATATTCAAAATCCAATTGAGCTCTCAAATTTCTTTACTCAATATTCAAATTCAGTATTATACTCTCAAATTTATTTACGCAATATTCAGTATTTTACTTTCCAATTT